TCAGTACATGTAGAGCACTATAGTATAGTACTGCATTACTGTGGTACATGTAGTAGAGTGTAGTACCTGTGTCATCTTCTCCCTGTTAGCTTTGGGGTTGAGTGGCGCCTCAGTCAGCAGGGTGGGATGTTCCTCTGGAGCCACTCGCAGCTCGTTGTAGAACGAGTGGTGCCAGATCTGACCAATCAGAGAGCAGAGCAGCAGTCACACAGGTGTGTGTGTGTGTTTGCGCGCGTCCATGTGTGTGTGTGTGTGTGTGAGACACACCTTCTCCATGTCGTCCCAGTTAGTGATGATGCCGTGTTCGATGGGGTACTTCAGGGTCAGGATTCCTCTCTTACTCTGAGCCTCGTCTCCCACGTAGCTGTCCTTCTGCCCCATGCCCACCATCACTCCCTGCACCACACAGAGCGCGCTCAGTTTACTGGTACTCACCTGTGCCCACTCACCTCACTGTCCCTGATTCTTCAATAATATATTACTGTCATAATCCCGACATTTGTAACTGGATGTGCTTGTGTGTGTGTGTGTTTGTTTCTGTGCATTTGTATGCATATGTCCCTGTGTGTGTGTGTGTGTGTTTGTACCTGGTGCCGGGGCCGGCCCACGATGGAGGGAAAGACGGCTCTGGGAGCGTCGTCTCCGGCAAATCCGGCTTTGCAGAGACCGGATCCGTTATCGCAGACCAGAGCGGTGCTCTCCTCGTCATCACACATGACTGCAGGGGGCGCTGTAGACGAGCAACGACACTACGACACCGAGTCACACTGCAGGCAGAAGAAGACGCAGGTTCAATTACTTATCATCGGCAGGCGTGTGTGAGCGCTCGCCACTCAAACCATCCACATGTGTCACATCCCAACATTATTCTGTTTGAGCCCTCGGCGCCGTGGCGGCCTGTGAGGGCTCACGGCTCTGACGGAGATCCAACCACTCGCCGTTTTTGTTCATTTGTGCTTTTGGAGACAGTTTAAAGCTTCAGCAGGAAGTGAGCGGGCAAAGGCAACATCGACACATCGTGTTGAAGGTCACACCGAGCCGGGCTGAAGGGCCCTGCAGTACCGCGCTCCACCACAAGATGGCGCAGTGAGCCGACATGACCTTCAGCAGGTAAGAAGACGCTCCTGTTGAAGCAGTGAGGTTAAAATGGATCGTCCGCACAGAGGGAAACCTGCCCGAGGACCTCACATCATCCAGCTGCAGCACCCCCCCAAACATGAGGCACTCTGGGAAAACTTCCTAATTAGGACATGAAGCAGAGTCCTGCCTGTGTTTGGTATGCTCGCTCGCCCTCTCTCCCTCTCTGTGCTCTCTCTGCCTCCCCTCCCCATGTGTCCCTCATCGTCTCCTCGCCTCCTCACCTCACATCTGTCCATATTTAGTCATGAATCTGGGAATCGAATATTTCTGATTTTCCCTCCAGCAGAGCTCGTGGGCTCAGTTTGCCCTCAGTCCTGCCTGCCGCTCGTCATCTGTGGTATAAACTCAGAACTAGACCTGCAGCATCAGCTGATTTCATCTAACTGTCATCCAGATGTTTAATGTAGAGGCGAGCACAGCTGCACGCTGCGTGAAACACGAGCCTTTCAAATTTACCTTTTAAACCATGAAACATTTTTTCTGCAGATTTCAAACTGGCTGTGAGCAGCAGGGGGCGCTGCTGC